TGTTTATCAGCACTTCTTCAGAGGGCCCAGTGACGATGATCTTGGGGATAAGTCTTTTCTTCTTAGCGATTTTATCAGCAGACACTGCAAGGAAGGGAGGAAATACAAAAATGCCACATCTGCGGAAACTAACAGCAGCGTCTTGCTACTGACTGTCAATACAAGGCTGGGCGAGTAAGAGGGAATGTATGCACAGACCCAGAGGGGCTTCATTTTCAGACAGAGAGGTGCTAAAGCCTGCATGAAGATCTTGTGTTCTACACAAAGCCCTCAGACGTCAGGAATGATGGTAGGAAATCAAGAGTCCTTCATGAACTCTGTAAAGTAGAGACCGGCACAATTATTTCTGGCATTTTGAAGAGCAAACAGAGGTGGGACTTCCACCAATACTGCAAGTTTCAAAAGGATAAGCAATTTGCAAATTTGAGCGCTGTAAGTGTATGAAAACTTCAATTCTCTTTCACACCTCATCTGGAAATATCAAAAGTTGCAGCCTAATTCCTCATATAAAGAGCCATTACCATTATAATGTAAAGTGATGCTTAGTGTCAGGAAAACACTTGTGCAGGCTCGGATGTGTGAGAACAGGTTCCAAGAACATGGGAGCAAACTCTGCCTCACATTCAGATTTGCCTGCAGAATGAATAGGTGCATTCAGTAGCCTTCTGTGCAGTAATAATGGCAAATAATGACCCCTGGAACTTGGAATCAAAAGGATGGATGATGGCGAGAAGACGATGATAATCTGAATTCCCATTTCAGGCCTGGTTTTCCCAACCCACTCTGCTTTCTCACAGCACCTGGCAACACTTTCTATCACCAAGCGTTTCAGCAACTCAGTTAGGTTTGCCTCCTTTCCAGCTGAAGAATCAAGAATCTGGCTGAGGTGCTTCTGGACAAGCTTTTATTGTGCAATGACCCTGCTCTACGCACAGAGGCTCCAGATGCTGCTTTCGTCCAGCCATAACCCACCAAAAGCATCACAACAAATTTAATGAAATAAATAAATAAATAGGAATAGCGCTAATAAAGATTGCTGTTGAGTGCCTAGTAAAGATACGGCTATCCAGCTGGAACAAAATGCACCATTGCAGGTGGGATTGCTCTGAGGCAGGAGGATAACATCCTTTTGCCCCGCCGTCTGGCAGAGGTCTTAGCAGCTGTGGGAGGGTTGTGTACGAGTTTGTGCTGCCTGTTTGCAAACTGCAGGAAGCCAAAAGGCCTCCCACCCCAAACAAGAACCCCAGGTGCCAGTTGCCTTAAAACAGCAGAACTGGAACAGACCCCTCGTGCTCTAGTTTTATCCCACTTTTTTTCATTTGCTTTAAATGATTAGTAGGCATTGTAAACTGCCTTGAGACTTTTCATTTATTTTAAATGGATAAACAAAAATTAGGCATTTTTCCCTATCTTTGCCCCCTGCTTACTGCTGTAAAGGTGAGAGGATGAGGTAGAAAATGAAGTAAAGAAAACTGCTTTTTGTAGGCAACAGTGCATTTCATTAGATGCACCGAGAGAGGCAGGTCAGTACCTCGCTCTATTCAGGGTGTGCTGAGAACACGCCGCCTCTCTTACCATCTACTTGCATAAGGTGAGGTGGCAGTTTCTTCCCGGCTCTGGAGGTCGAGGGCTGAATGCCTGAGTGAGTCTGATCTTGAAAGACTTGCTTGGATTCTTTGACCTTGCTGTTTTCTACAGTTCGATGAGTGTGAGCTGCCAAGACAAGACAAAAATAGACAGGATGGGAAGGAAAAAAGCAGAAGGAGAGATCCTTTCCTTTGCACTATGGTAGCTTGTTCCAAAGACTAGCAGCCAGTTAGAAAATAAAAGCATCTTGTTGGGCCAGACAGGATCTTGGAGTAAGGCATTTTCTCCCCCATCTGGAGCCTTCCAGTTGTGCTGGGATGTCTGGCCCATTCTGGCTGCAATTCTGGGAAAAGTAGGGTGCCAGGCCAGAAAAGGCTGGTCTAATGCAAGGTTTTTCTTCCAGCCATATTTTCATGCTGCCTACAAGCAGCTTGGAGCAATGTACAGTTTTCCCTCCTTTTTACATGTTCCAACAGTCCTAGGAGTGAGTCTGTGAGTGACTTACTCACTCGACTCAATTGAGTACATTCATTTCTCAGCAGAGGTTGAACCTGCCTCTCATCCATGGGCTTAGATATTTCCAGGAAATTCATAACCAAAGAATGGAGGCAAATGTCTTCTCCTGTTCTGTGCCATCAATCTTGGTCATTCAGAAGCACACTGCTTACTATGTTTGCAAATATCAGTAGAGGTCTCCTGCATAAATGTGTTTATTCAAACTCTGTTGTTCATTTCTAGCAGAGCTTTAAGAATTTGCTTTGAATTCATAGTAGTTGGACTAATACTTTGTTCACTAAGATCTACTAACTCTTCTCTAAAAGAACCCACAGAATACACAGTTACTATGGGCAAAACTGGGGTCCTGAGAGAGTTAGAAAATAAAAAGGAACCCTTGAAAAAGTCCAGCAGTTACAGGTCAAAACACTGGTTTGTGAACTGGCAATCCAACATCCTACTGAGGAAGATGTTAAACTACTCCACTGGCATCATCAGCATCTGCCCCAAATCTGCTCTCATCTGTCTTTAACCCAAGAACTCTGCCACCTTCTACTGTGAGCTTCTCAGAGGCCGCCACGTTGAAGAAGAAATACGTTCTGATGAGAAATGTTGGGAGATTAAATTTTTTTGGCAATCTAGTATAGGGTCTCAGGAAGGGGGCAAGGAAACAGTGCTTTAAATACTGTTTTAAAAAGTAAAAGAATTTGGGTTTTAGTTGGGGAAATAACGTGAGTTAGCTTATTTTTGAAATAGAGACAGAGATGCTGATATCTGATCCTTATCATATTTACCAGAAAGCAAATGTCTACATTTGCAGGATGGGCTGAAATGTGAGCCTGACCAGCTGAAAGATTTCTCTTTAATACCTGTCATTAAATAAACAGAAAGACCAATGGCTGTCCCCACAAACAAGGAAGTAACAGAGCAGGAGAGGTGGGTACCTTTCTTCACTGTGTCCACACAGAGGGTCATTTAGAAACAGAATCACCTCCCTGAAGCTGAAAGGGCACATCCTTCATTCAACTTTATCTGGATTTTATGGTCCCTTCTGCTCCTGTCTGTGCAGAGATCAGGCTACTGCACTACCTCTAACCTGCACCCTTCCTGGGCATCGTTCCTTAAAGAGTAACAAGAACACTTTACCTCCTGGCACTTCTTCATGTTTGCTGTGCGACCGCCCCATAGATGAGCCAAAGTCCTCACCCCCCCTACCTGGCACATCTACATCCTAGCTTGCACTGTCTAGGTCCTTTTGTGACTCAGCACCAGCCAAGCGCCATCATCAAAGAAGGAGGACCCCAGAGGCTCCCACCACAGGAGGGACTTCAGTTCAGGAAAGAGCCTCTCTGTTGTGACACGTTCTCTTCTCCTCCTTTCAACTTAGAATCAGTGGCTGCCTCCCAAAGGCCCGTAACAATGAGGTAGGTGTGAGGACAGCCTTGAGGGAGACTGGGGTGGAAAAGAATAAGGGGATGATGGGTCTCCCACAGAACCTGTGCTGAGAAGCGATGTAGATCCTGCAAAAGAAGCAGAGGATTCGGGTTAGGGTATGTCTGTGTGTGTGTGCGTTGTGTATGTGTACATCTATGTGTGTGTGTGTATACACACACACACACACAATCTCTACCATCTCACTGCTGCAACTCTGGGCAGTTAACAGAGTTAAAAACCAAAAAAGCAAGACAAAGACATCCACAAGAATCCTCTTTATGGCGAGGGGGAGTTACATGGGGGACCCCAAGGTCTCCAAGCCGCTTCAGCCTCCTGTGCTCAGCCCCTCAGAGTCTGTTTGGAAAAAACAACACATGCATTGCAGAAATAAAACAAATAAGGAATAGCAGGGGTAGGCGAGGAGGAAAGGGCGAAGCCAAAAAAAGGCTCACTTCTAGGGTATTATGAAAAATAGAGCTGACTTTAAATTATTATAATTTGGATCCCATTTGAAGGCAATTACAATAATTCCATAAAACCCAACCTTGGGGGGAGGCCTCTCGTTTCAGCCAAATGCAAAAGGCCGTGCATTGTAGTAGGAGCTTGGTTTCTGACACCTCCAAAATTATATGCTGATTTTACACGCAGCTTTTTAATTTAACTCACTTCCACTACGCCTGCAGGTGCAAACGCGACCAAGGACGTCAACCTGAGGGGGTAAAGTTCATCACCCAGCCTGCTTCCCACAGAGGCGAGCAGCGTTGACGCTGCAGATGCTCCCCAGACACGCATTTCAGGGGCACGCCTGAACGCGTGGCTAACCCGTGTTGGTGCGGGGTCAAGGCTACCCTCGCAAGTAGGGTCGCATGGAAAGCCAGGTGTGAGAGCCCGCCTGAGGCCGGGCCGGGGTCTCCAAGGGGATCAGACTTCAAAGCCCATCATCCCCAGTCAGCCAATCGTGCTGGCTGGGGATTGTGGCGCTGTAGTTCCAGCCTTACCCCTGGGGAAAGATACTTTGCGGTGCTCTACAATTAACTTTATTAACCGCCCGCGGACTTATAGAGGCACCTCTTTAATAAAGTAAAATAAAGTCAAGCCGGAGGCCCTCTCTGCGCCCAGCAACATCCGGGCTCTTCGTTGCCTCAGCAACCGCCGCCGCCGCGGGCGCCGCCTCCCGCGGCCAGCACCTGA